AATGTTACTGCAATTACCGTACTCACCCCGCCTCCCGCCAATCGATAGGACGCTATATTTTTCCTTGACTGGCTTGCTTTTTCATTCGATTTTGTCGTTTTTCCTTCTGTTTCTTTTTAGTTTTCATGTTTATTAGACTTGATTAATTAAGATGACTCCTCTTATATAAACGACGATCAATACCGCATTGAAATTGAAGGGAGCGACCAGCCAATTCAAATAATTAAAGGGCTCCCTACCTCACAAATTGCGCGCTCCAACTTCCATCGCAATTCTGCGGTTGGCGGCGGGTGCGGCGTGTGCGACGCCGTGTTAGGCGAGAAGTTCCCGGACCCCAGACAAGTATAGGAGGTTCACTGGGTGCCCTTCTCTCAATTAGCAAAGTCGCCGCACAAACTCAGTAAAGAATATCCAGAAATCATTAAAGACCATTGAAGACAAAATCTCAGTAAAAAAGTCTGATAGTTCTGGTAACTGACACTCATTTTTAGAACCCAAGCCATTTCAAGCCAAGTTTTACCTTCCTCTTTTACGAATTCTTCAATTTTTCAAAATTGTTCAGTGTATCCTTTTGGAGTCGCACGTTTTGTTCACTTTTGTTTCAGTAACGTTCTTCAGTTACTGGAGGGAAAAGGAAGGAACTTTGACACCACTTTTGTTATGAACTGTTCTTTCATAAAAAGATGCGGTATTTCTGCAATACGATCTAGACCACATCTAGAATTTTGTTGGGGAGAATAATTCCAAATTAGGAAGGGAATATGAATAGATGGCGTGTAACAACCACTCTTCCTCCAGCTGGCAGAGACAAACGTGAAAAAACCATTTTCTATGGACTTTATCGCACTGCATTATGTAAACGTTCGATAGGAACTGGTGGTGAATCGATGAGCAGTCATTGTGAACGGCTCATAGTTATCGGTCGGCAAGATCGACTATCATGAAAGTCATGTGTAAATCCCTCATCAATATTCCGTATCCTCACAAGTTCTATAGACCGTCATATGCGGAGCCAAGCATTACATCGAAGAAAGCTACTCATCAATGCAACCCTCGTCGCTCCGAAGAAAAAAAAAACGGGAAGGTGGGCATAACTACGACCCCCAATTTGCTTGATTCTTCCTCTTTCCCATAATTAAAGAAGTCGAGAATTCTCTCTCGAGGAGGGAGGGTAGTGAACGGTAGTAACGATCCCTCCCGGACCAATTCCTCACATACTCTTGAGCTGTTGAAAGGATTAGCCCCACAATTGGAAGCGAACAGGATAAAAAAATAGGTCATATAAAAGGAAGCAATCTTTTTAGAGATCAATCACGTACCTGACTCTTCTTCATCCTCATCGGCAGCAGCATCGTTTCCATATTTGTTGGTCTTTTTCCGCTGCTGCTTCTCCTCCTCCTCCTCGTCGTCGTTATCATCATCAGATGAGGATGAGGACGAGGAAGACTGCTGCTTCTTCTTCTTCTTGCCCATCACTACTGCTTATGGAAGATGAATAAAAGATGATTGAGTTACAACAGATTCATAAGGACGCTTTCGTTGATGCCGATAGCACAGCAGCAGTTATCAACAATAAAACAAAGGTGACGATTGACTGGGAGGGCGTCAACGTGATTGACTTAGCGGAAACGTCAATGAGGCTGAACAGTTCATATCTGTTCCCTTTTTACACCGCAGAGCATGAGTCATACGTCAACTCCCATCTGTTTGATTTCCCAGACCACTGCTTTACACTGATAGGTATTACTCATACATCCCAGTTCTTTTTGTCTCTCAGGCCTATACTAC